TTCTTGAAAGGCGACAGAAGAGCATTGTGATTCGTCATTAGTTGTAAATAAAAAAATAAGTATTGTCAGTAGAAGTAGAGGGGCGCGGCTCAGGGCAAAACTTCTTCGTTTGTAGCTTCAAATTTATGGCTAGAGTTATTTTGGCACTTTTATTTGCTTTGTTTTGGATGGAATCTTCTACATAAGATTCTGCTACTGCGTTAGAACGCCACCCGCCATGCCGCTGTAAAGTCAATATATCAGCTCCCGAATCAGCAAGTAATGTAGCTGACGTTCTTCTGAAACTGTACCCTGTATAACAATCAGCATCCGGCAATCCTAAAAACTTGGAGACTTCCTTTGGCATGGCACCGTTTTTATTTATGCCAATAGGTTGCGCAGTACATTTACCTTTTTGGTAATTCTGAAAGAAATGATTATTTTTTGCCTTAGTCGTACGCAGAGCTTCATATTTTTTGACAACGTCATAAAATGGGCCGTCGATAATAAAAGATCGGGGTATTTTGTTTTTAGTGTTTGGGATTTTAACTAAAAGCATTTTGCCTTGATTTTCAATGTCATTTGTGGTAATATTGAGAAGCTCTTGCCGTCTATATGCATCATTAATACCAAATATTAACGCAACCTGAAAAGAAATAAAAATGTGTTAGATAAGATATAGGTTCTTAGCTTACAGACGGTCGTTAAAAAATATGTAAAAGAGTATGTACAGTAAGTAGTTCAATACATAAAATAAGGAGGCTAACTGACCTTTGTAGCCAGGTACTGGCTATCTGGAGCATCTCTTAAAAACTGTTCGACGTCATTTGATGACAGTACCTTAGATTTTTTCCTTAAACATGGCAATAAATAACCAAAATATAATTTCGTTTTATCGAAATAGTAATAACTACTGAACCATTATCACCGGCCAAATTAAATAGTCTATTTACGTAAACGCTACTCTTTTGATGACTTCTTAATTTAATCAGATTGCGATAAGCAGTGCGTCTCAAAACCATAACACATACACAATTGTTGCGTACAATGAGTTTTGCCTGTCGTGTTGATGTGGTAAATAAATTACAAGAAGTGCAATTTAGGGCCGCATCGGTGGTGGCGGTGCCACCATAGCGTTTGGTTCAAAACATTCGGCTAATTAGAACGTTTAAGTAGTTCAGTCTAGTTTTGATAGATGGCACTTTTACTAGTATAAACAAATCGGAATCATGAATCTATTCATGTAAGAGTCAACGTATGTAAGTAAGAATTGAATAATGTAGGTTTAGTTGGATTTTATGGGTAGGGTATGCAATGCTTATTTGCATTTATGGTGTGCACGCCACTGTATACCTATCATAGATCCTTTTATTACCAATTATAATTTATCTTATTCATAGTGCGACCACTTTGATGTGATCTACCAATAGTTGAGGTTGACTCCAAGTTTTCTCCCAGGCGGATACGTCCTGCCAGAAGTTGAGCATACCTTTACGCCCAGAATTGCGCCAAGGTTTCATTCGCTCACCTCCTGTTACTGAATCATCAGGGAACTCCGTGATACCCCCCACTGCCAAACCCAACGTTATATAAAACTGGAGAATGAAAACAAATCTCATAGGAAATCATTTTATAATATGTGCAAGCCTTACAATTAACTAATACGTACATACTAATGATTACAGATTTACAAAAAGGCATGAGAAATATGTACCTATCTAACAAGAATTTAGAAGTGCGTATAGGTGAATGAGCTGACAGACCAGAAAAGATAGAACTGTAATGAAAGTGTATAGAAAACAAATACAGCAACAGGACTGGCATAAGGTAAATGAAACATGCTAAATATTCGGTGGCATACTATTTTATGCTATGCAATCTAAGCTCGGTGACGTAGTGGATAAGCGCTGCGGTCCGCGATAATTGTTGTTAAACAACTTTCGCAAGGTTCGGTGATGGGAAGGGGGACCAAAAAATATTATCACAAGCTACTCCGTACTCCGTACCAGCTGCATTTGCAGTCGTTAATATTCTCCAATACGCATTAGGCCAGCATGGAAGGCTCATAACCCATCCTCCTTAACCTTCTGTAGGCAGGCCTGAGTCCCTGCAGTGGGGTCTTAAAAGAGCTAATTGTGACAGAAATCGTGGGATAAAGTCAGCTACAAATACAAACATTGATCAAACTCAATTGTCTCATTAAAGTATATATATTAAAGTATATATATATAATATAAAAATTACAAATATTTTGGAGTTTTTAAAGTATCAAGTAATATCATTTATGTATAGTCATCAAACTTACACTGTCATCGTATGGTGCCATCGGCGTTCCCTTCTGCAATTTCATACGAAGGAGGCTAGTGCAGGTCTTTGAAAAGCGAGTGTGCAGCCCGTTTCCTGCTTTTATTTGTGCCCATTCTTCACCATCTATTGCTAGCGATATGTGATCTACCGAAAACGAAATAATTAACTGATCCAGGCATGGGCATGATGTGTTTTATAAAGATCCTAGTTAAATTGTGTAGCATTGTATTTCTTGTATTGACTATGATGGTTGACTGTACCGAGAATTACTTTTTAAGCAAACGAAAAAAATGGCATATAAGTTCCTCAGTCACTGTCTGCAAAACTAAGATTCCTTTGAATAGGAAATTCTTGATTGTTATATTTTAACAAACTATAATCTCTGAAAAATGTTTGTTTTGTGTGGCTGCAGATGAATTTTAGACTGAGCAAAAAATTGTTATATCTTGAAAAATGCTGAAAAAATTACCCTGTATTATTTACTTACAAGGAGTCCACGTCAAAGTGTAATTGTGGAAGTCGTCTCCCCATAGGCCGTATTCATGGACTTTCTTGCCCAGTAATTGCTGCCGACATTGTGTGTTCATAACTGGCCCTCCGTACAAAACCTGATATGTTCACAATTTATTTTCAGTTTTTAATTCAAATTCATTCTAAACGACTATCTATTTTATTATGTGATACGCTAATACCCATTTTTTGAAACTTACGTCATTACCATATTTTTCAGATCCAACCTTCAATTCTTTATTGCCTCGTGCTGTTGCGATTTTTATAACGCCTGAAGCGTAATCTGTACTTCCATATTTTTTCAAGAAAGGTTCCAAAAGTAATTCTGAGAAAGAAACACTGTTAAATGCAGTAAGTACACAATTGTTATCTTAAGGTAATTCTGATGATTTTATCAAACCTGGGTATAGCCAATCTCCTTGGGGTAACTTTGCTCTGATATGGACAATTCCATAAGTGAATGCGAATCTGGCGCTCGTGACCCGACCGCTAACCACTGGCGGTAGTATATCGGCCCCGGATGCTTTTCTATAGCATTCTTCTGCACGGGAAGTACACCTGTAGGGAAGATATTCGACCCCTACAGACCATTATGAACGACTGCAGGAGTCTGCAACAGCAAGTACTTACTTAAGACTAATTTTCCTAAGTCTGACATTTTAGATCAAAATTATATAGGATAAGATTTAATACTAGCTATATCTACTAGAATTTCTATACTCGATATCGCAGTGACTAAATATCTCGTTCGATCTGTGATGCAAACGCAACTTTATAAGGGCTGACCATAGAATGGGTGACCAAAAAAATCATTATCTTTGATCCTGGTTGTGTCTTAAGCCGTTAATACTTACTAGTCCACACTGACTCGCATGGCCCTATATGATTCGATTCCATCCATAGGGCAGGCCTGTGTCCAAGTAGTTGAAATATTTATAGATTGATGATAATGATATGAGAATTTAATGGTAGCACGTCCGTTTGCTGTTTTTATAAAAGGCTCTGTCAGAATATCAGCGTTGATGCGACCTATGTCGTAACAACATACGCTGAGACAAGGTCTTGATTGACCCAACGTTTGATTGTATTATGTATTTTTTTCTTTCTTATATTTTTTTTTGTATATGTACTTAGTTTGTGGGTCAGTAAATTAGTTTTTTTCTTTCTTTCTCCTTGGTTGAAGCCAGGAGAAGTTAAGCCTTCATCCAATCCACTTTGTAATTAAACTCACCCACTCTGGCTGTTGAGGTCCAAGTCTTCAAAATATACGGTATCGTTGTCGTATTCCGATAAACGCTCTAGGACTTTTGCTGTTATTTGTAGGAATCCATTTGACACGAACACAACAGGATCATCCAATCGATTTTGATACGATACAAATGGATGTTCCTGAAAGAATCAACAAAAGATGATTATACATCTCTCTCTATATTCTTTAAAATCTGTGTTTGAAAATCGAGTTTTTATTTTGAGCAATTTTACAATGATCGTAATAGTTTTCTAGTAATAGTCATTTTCTGTATATTTCTATGCGCACCTGATGTGAAAAAATAAATAAATACATTTTTTATATATATGACGGTCGTCGATCTTTTCTCCATTAAACTTCTGATGAACTAGCCTAGCCTAGCATGATTTTGCCAGTGAGATTAGAATACAATAGGTTGCGAGTCTAAACGCTCCTTTCATCTTGCATTCCTCTTGGTAGCATCGCTAAATTTTATACGAAATATGAAACATCATAGCCAACCGGATGGGATGAAATAGGGATGTAATGTTCAATCTGCCACACATCCTCCTTCAAGGTAGAAAAGTCGTCCTCAAATATGGTCTGGCCACCGCACGCTGTGCCTCCACGCACTTTCGTCAATGTGCGACGACATTTAACTGGGCGGCCCACATTGCGGTCCTTTAGCTCTAAAATAAGAGGATAGATTTTTTTTTAAATAACAATTTTAGTAACTAAATTGTTTAATGTCCAAATAAGTAATAAAGTTGTCATAATGGCGTATTCGCAGTGCGGGCTCATTTCATTGGATAATCAACCAATGAAAATTTGCCACAGTTATCATATGCATTTCGTATTCTAGTTACCTTCTAGAGCTAGCATAGCGCTTAATGCTCTACGTATGTTGTAATCGACATACTAACACATATATTTAACGAAAAATGTTTCTTACGAGCATACTACACAACCAACAAATGGTACGAATCACACTCACATTGTCTAGAAGCCTTAAAAATCGTTGATTTTTAATTTTCCAGGATTTCCTGACAAAATTAATGATACCTGGGTCAATATTTCATCTCGTGCAAATCGGGTGTTCCGCGACAAAGAATATATAAATCATTGAAAAAATTTGGGACTGAATCGGAATTCGCAAAAGCAGTTTTTTAATTATAAAAGTATTAAATTTCAAAATAAAAGTCGCAATTCTCATAACCAGTCGTGTCCCTATTCCAAGATTTGAAACAGTTAAGCTAATATCGAAAAATAATAACTGCAATTTTATTCAATAATAGGATACTACGAGTATAATAGTTAAAATTCATTGTTTACCAAAAGTGAAGTGGTTTGCGAAATAAGTTATTACCGATTTTATCAAATAAGGTACTCAACTCCTATATTCTGATACTTATTTGATTATTGTGTTTGGTGTGTAAGCATTATTTGAACCTGCATGACATAACAAGTCTACTAAAAAGGACAATATTTAATAGAAAATGACTATAAACCTCATTACCGTTCATTTTAATAGGAATGGGAATTAGATAGGTGAAATGGCAATGAGGTATTATGATTAAATATTTATTTATTTAATAATAATATTAACAGGATTATAATTGTACTGACTAGTGGGTGAAAAAACTTTTTAGGACTTAAGATTGAATAGTGGGTGATAAGACTTACGAGTGGACACCAGAGAGAGTCAAATCAGGTCTCTATATAGTGGATAGGAAGGGGAGCGGGATCACGTTTTAAGCCATTCCTTCTCTCTGTAGGGACCAGCTGGTGTGATACGAAGCCATTCCTGTATTACTCGAGACTCTCTGCGATAAGAGGACCAAGTATCCCGTTAAGGAGATAAATGTCTTGGTGAATAGATTACTATTTTCCAGGTTTCATACCCCATGATAGGATATGCCGTAGGAATTGAATAAAACTAAAATAAAAATTGGTATTTTTACTTCAAATTAGCGAAATTAAGTTTTTATAATTTTCTAGAAGCGTGCCCATCACGACCTTTGCCAATTAATTAAGATTCCAATTCTAAACTAAGAAACAATTCTAATTGAAGCAATGTTCAACAAAGTATGATGAATTTGATTTTATTAAATAACTGACTCCGAAACACTCTAATGGATACAAATGTCTATATAGAGGTCATACTTTTGAAACATACTTATATCTACTGAAGACCAGAGAAAAGTGAGAATCGGGGATTTTTTCAAAAGATGGAGATTTCTTAAGTAAAATACTAAGAGAAACGAGCATAAAATTAAAGATATAGTTATAAGGAATTAGTACTTACATAAGTCTAGTTAGTGAAAGGCTTAAAAACGTGACTATTTTCGACTGAGACGAAATTTTTGTGGACGCATCTTCGTCCAATTAAGTATCAAACAGTAGGTACGTATGCCTAGTGGTACGTACAGTAAAAGAAATAAGCATGATTGAATTATGTCTCAAGTAGAAAAAATGTATAGCCAATATAAAAATGAAGCAAAGCTTTAGTGAAAAAGAAGTACTAGGTGGATTGAAAAGTTGGCGGCCTAACACATAAATACTTAAACTATTTTAATGTAACTGGCCTCATTCGATTAGTTGACTCTCTGGTTGTCAAATTGTAAAATTCTATACATTAGCATTAACTGTATTTAAATTAGACTGACTTGACTGACTGACTTATGAGCCTTTGTGCAGCATTTTTAAAGAATGGAGAAAATTGAGCAACGTGCTGTCATCAAATACCTGTTTAAAAAAAACTAACTCCAAAAGAGATTCACGAAGATATGTCAACAACATTGGGGGAATCTACTCCGTCGTATACGACTGTGAAAAAGTGGGTTGCTGAATTTAAACGCGGACGAGAGAGTATAGAAGATGACCCTCGCTCTGGTCGGCCTATGACGTCTACGACTGAAGAAAACATCGGGAAAATCTGTGATCTGATATTGACAGATCGAAGATTGACCATCAGGGAGATTGCATACAGTATTGGCACCTCGTATGAACGAACACAAAACATTATAGTCAATGAACTTGGATTTTTTAAGGTTTCTGCGCGCTGGGTACCCAAATTGCATTCAGTCGAACAAAACCGAATACGCCCACGATTTCTCACGACTGTTTGGAAATGTTTGAGGCAGATCCACAAGATTTTTAATCTAGATTTGTAACAATGGATGAAACTTGGGTACAGCACTACACCCCAGAGTCAAAACAGCAATCCAAGCAGTGGAAAAAACGTGATGAACCCACTCCAAAAAAAGCCAAAACAATTTTGTCAGCTGGCAAGGTGATGGAGTCAGTTTTTTGGGATGCTAAGGGTGTCATCAAGGTGGACTACCTTGCAAAAGGTGAAACTATAAACTCGGCTTATTACTGCACCCTCTTACATCGTTTGCGCGAAACAATCAAAGAGAAAAGGCCAGGATTACTCAGCAAGAAAGTGTTGTTCCATCAGGATAATGCACGCGTTCACACGTCTGTTGAATCTCTGGCTCAAATTCGTGGTTGTGGCTTTGAATTACTGCCCTATCCCATCTATTCCCCTGATTTGGCACTTTTAGACTTTAATTTATTCCCAAACCTAAAAAAACACCTTGGAGGTCAAAAATTTCCATCAACATAACAACAGAATAACATTTACTTACTCTGATGAAATGGTTTAAAGCGTTCCGGATATCTATGAATAATAAAAGTATTGATAAAAAAGCCATGCAGATAAATTAAAGCCGAATTTTCAAATATATTTGTTCCTAATTATCATTTTTATATAGCTCATTACCATTCCGGATTATCTAATTACCATCACCGTGTAATCTAATTTCCATTTATTGAAAATATTTAAGGCCCAATATCTAGTAAAAGTAACACCCAATTGCTGTCGCTTCAATTTTTTTATGATATAAAACCAGCTTTTAAATAAACCAGGAAATAACGTTTTTGGGCACAATGTTTTTGCGTTCTTCGAGACTGCCAATTTGAACTTAATAAAATATTCACCCACTTATTCATTTTCAGTTTTCGTATACATATAGAACAAATGGTCATTTACGTTGATAAACAGCTGACTAAAGATAATCTGATATATTTACCGGTGACAGTATATTTTATGGTGCCTTTGGAAAAAGTGCCTACACCGTCCACTGACACAAGTAAGTTATAGTTAATTATGTCACCAAATTTCAGCTGGGTTTCAGAGTCCTCATATTCGAAACGTCCATTAAGAGCTTGGGCTAGTTGCCCTGATACTGGTTTGCCGTTTTCTTCGTCTCCGACTCTCCCTCGGAATATAAAAAGAAGCAAACCAGGTATATCTGTTGAGCAATAAGGTCTCGTGTTAATCTTTTTTTCACTTCCGGCCTAACATTATAAATAAAATGTTAACTGATCCTGTCTGTTACCTGACGTAGACACTGCTATCTACCTACCTAAGTTTTCAGTTAATGAGCAGTTACCTAAGATGTCCAAGTGTTTACAATTTGCATTAATGGCCTAGTCCTAATAACTGATATCATGTCCTGGCGACCTCAATTTTTAAGGACCTCCACTACCATATTGATAAATTTATGGCAAACTACACACTTATAATTTTCATAAAATATAGAAATTGGAAAGGCCAGAAAAGCCCCATATATTTTTTTCATGTTAATTTTTTATAATTGAAATCTCTATATAGCAAATGATTGTTATACGAGATTGATATATTATATTAGACAACGAACGGGGTTCGCTAGAAATTGCAAAAATTATAATGTTATTGGCTTTGTTGACAATAAGTGAATGTCCACGATCTGTCGATGATCTTCAAAACTACTTAAGAAAACCAAAACTAGCCAAACTCGTTCCGTCAACAGAACGCAAATAAAATATAAACATAACTTACAAGGTATGGATACTTTAAAGCCTCTAGGTCTAAAAGCTTCTATTCTCAATTCAGGAAGGTTGTAATCACTTTGACTAGCAACTGTCACAAGAATTAGAAACAATATGACGTAAGATGTTACACGTCTTCCATTCTCGGTAGCCATTTCGATACTGAGGATTTTTAATAGCCTCATTTTTTGATGAGCAGATTAAGTAACTTTCGCAAGGACCGATTAACCTACCAAAAATGTAAGATCTTCCGTGCTTCGCTTCGGTACGTTCAGACATTAGTACCGGCTACATTTGCCGTTGTTAATAGTCACCGATTCTCCACCGTTCTGTTTACAAGGAAGGTTACTTATGTATGTGCTACCATTGAGCATTAACTTGTGCGACGGGGAAAATGTTCTATGAATCCAAAATAAATCTTGTGTCTCTTTTCATACAATATTTATTGTCGAATACGGTTTCCTGTTGACTATTTGTCTTTGCCACCATTGTATTTATCGAACCTGAAGTTTCATAATACATATCTAGAAATGATTAATTGTTCAAACTTATGATTCGACGAAGGCGAACTCTTCTAAAATAGGTATATATACCCATTACAGGTAATGATGTTATAAATATAACTCCTATATCATCATATATTATATTTAGTCAATTTTGCTATACTGGAAAATAGAATTCGAACCCACGACCTTTCGCCGGGCGACTGCTCTGGTTGTTTGGGTTAATGAACATTGTTGAAAATACGCTCTGTAGTTGCGGAAAAGTAACAAGTGCCATAAAGTTCGTCAGTCCAGTCAGGTCCTGGGTGGCTCAGTGGTTAAATCAGTCGCCCGAATTGAGAATGGTCGTGGGTTCGAATGACATCTCAGATTACGAGGGGCAAAGTGGATTTTTATGCATTGTTTGGTTTCAAAACGCATAAAAACAAATTACCTATGGTAACCCAACTAATACCTCTGCTTACCTACGTATTTCTATTTGGCTATATAAAATGATATGAGGCTAGATAGACATCCCGTGAGAGCTACCTGTTGCGAGTCGTCCGCCGTTACGAATGGTGACCTAATAATAATCACGTGCAACATGCACTGTCGGTATACACATAAAATCGATGTTGTGTAACAGATAATATGACTGTACATCAGAATATTCCGGGACACCGTAAATGCCTAGTTGCTGTTGAAGGAAGGAAAATGTAAGTCCAAAACCGACCATCTAAACGTAGGTGTTCATACACAGTTATCATTCTGAAATAATTCAAAATTTAAAAAGGGATCACTGGCAACAGTCTTTTATTTCACATTCAACTAAAAAAAAAATACAATAATAGCTTAAAATTAACTTGTAGATCCGTAGGAAACAATTATTTTATTTACTAGTTTATAGTGACAAATATAATATACACATTTTAGTTATATGCAAAAGGAAATTGAAAATTTCTTTAACACTTTATAATACTCTCCTCAAAATTATTCCTCAATATAATATTTAATTTAGACAATAGCTCTATTTTGCGTATGTTTGACATATTTTATATTTAGTTGTCACATAATTCATTCACATATAAATGCATGAAGTCTTTATTATACAAGTTTGAGATGAACTCTTTATGCCATTTTCACTTAGGTTAGGAGTCGCTCAAATATGTCGCCTAGACTAGGAACCACTTAACGATACTAAGCAATATCTATAGTCATGTCATACGACGCCTTGCGCTAGATATTTCGGAAATATAATAGATCACAAATATGTTTAGGGATTGAAGGATTTTATTTTCTGTGTAACGCGATTCGTAAGATTAAGCGTTTCTTATTTAAGCTATGCCTTGATTTAGGTTATTGGCAACGGGCATTAGTTACTTAAGTTTGTAACATTCTGGATAAAGTTAAGTATTTATAGTTACTATATGTAAAATATATCACTAAACTCGCAAAACCCCAGGTCATGTTGAGCTGAAGACTAGAAAAAATCATAAAGCAACGACTTTTATATAGTCGACTAAGAGTTCTGGTTGAGTCCAGGTTGTTCCCCAGTGGGGCAGGTCCTCCCAGAAACTGAGCATGCCCTTACGACCGGAATTACGCCAGGGCTTAGGCTGTCCACCGCCGGTGTATGAGTCGTCCGGGAACTCTGTGATACCACCAGCTGCTACACCCAATGTTATGTAGAACTGCAAATGATATAAAGTATTAAAAGAGCACTTAAAAATTACTATTTCTGGCAACTACAGATGGAACACACAGAAAACCACATAAAGAGTGGAAAAAGATTAAGCTGCCTTAGAAGACTCATTGTTCTTATACACAAAAGACGTTTTAGTAAAACCTGTTAAAATACATTAAAATTATGGTCCATTGTTCCTGGTAATTTTTCTCTGATAAAATCTCGAGACTCAAACTTTTCCGCACTTATAACTTAATCGGTCTATTCTATGTAAAAAACTGTCACTTTTACTGCAGCCAACCCAACTCCGCCTAGAAGCTCAGAAGAATCTTGAAAGACTTCGCAGAGTGTTGATGGGTCGGCTATGCTGCCAGGTTCTAGTATTCCAAGACTTTCTTACCTACATAATCAACGAAAATTTTGATATTGGATATTCAAAAATAGTGGGCACCTTACATGAGAAATTCTACGGTTTTCTCTAAGATCTCTAGTTGCAAGTCAGAAGAACAATTAATCGCTCAGTTGAGGTGCCCTTGTTCTATATGTATCCGAGTTTATAGCACCGTGAACGCGACTAGGTACTAGGTAATCAATGATCTATGCTTACGTAGTCATCAAAAGGTGCTATCCTAGTGCCTTTTTCAAGTAACATTCGTGGTAGATGGGTGCATGTATTTGGGAAACGAGTGCGCAACCCGCCCGTTGCATCCACCCGCGCCCATTGCTCACCATCCACTGACAGCGATATGTATTCTGGAATTTATTTTATATAAATTATTAATCTAAGATGTTTTCTAATCTTTGAAGGTTTGAGGGAATACTATAAGGGAAAGATTTTTATGCGATTGAAACCAGGAGAAAAGTAAATAAAATTAAAATAAAAAACAAAATAATAATGTCTGTGAGGTTGTCTGTCATTAGAGACGACATCACATATGATATTGCTCAGATCAACTAAGTTACTTAGATAATTAATTTGTTAACTTCTTCCTATATCAGAAAATATGTTGTTATAAAAAAATAATCTTACGGGGAGTCCAAGTAAGACCATACTCGTGGAAGTCATCACCCCATAGACTGTTATCCATCAGTTTTCTTGATAGCAGCTGCATTCTACACTTTACGTCCATGATTGGACCGCCGTATAAAACCTGCGAAATTTCAATAAAACATCACTACATTGTATATATGTATATTGAAGTAGATCCGCTAATTTTATTTATCTTTTGAGGATTGTATCTCTTCTTTTACCGGGCTACGGTTGTTATAACTCGGTGAGCGACAAGACAAATATGCTAGCACCTAAATTTATATTACCTGTCATTTAATGAAGTTATCGATGAAAACTATCATATTCTACTACTCACTTTATTACCGTATTCATCTAGTCCTACTCTCAGATCTCGGTTGCCAAGTGCTGTAGCAATCTTTATAACACCTGAAGCGTAATTAGAACTACCGTATTTCTTCAAAAAAGGTTCCAGGAGTATTTCTGCCGAACAAAAACATCTTATTAGTGTATACCTATTGTCTGTGTTACTGGTAATCGATATTTTAATCAGAAATACGTTACCAGGATATAACCAATCTCCTTGGGGTAGCTTAGCTCTAATTGTGACGGCTCCATATTTAAAAGCGAACCCTGCGCTTGTTATGCGCCCGCTGACTACTGGTGGTAGAATATCAGGTCCAGAGGCTTGACGGTAACATTCTTCAGCACGAGATGTACAACTGTAAATGAAAAGTACGTGTACTATAAAAAGGACTAGCACAAAGTGACTCTTAGATAGCATGAAACTGCCGGACTATGAAATAAAATAAGCGGACACGATTTTTAAACTAAGTTTTAACTTAATTCGCCGTCAAATTCAGAGATCATGTTAGGCTCCATATCAAATCATTGAATCCTTTTGGATATACCTCAGTAACCAACATAATTATTATTTGAGTTCATAAGGTTAATGTGTTTATGTGAAGAATGTTTCTTAATAAATGGCAATTTGTAAGACATAACCTGCCCGGAAGGGTAGAAAACCCAGACTGGAGTTCTGAGTGTTGCTATGCTTGCGGATAATACAAATTTTCATTAAGTAGAATAGATAATTTGATGTTTTTTAACGACTTACCCGCTAAAAAGGTCTAAGTTTCCGAGGTAAATAGATTCATTAGTGAAGTCAGACATACGTTGCTGGATCTTAGGAGTAATATGGAGGTTACCATTAGACACATAGACAACAGGATCATCCGGCAATCTCTGGTATGATACAAAGGGATATTCCTGGAATAATAATGATCAAATAATTAATTTGAAAACTTAATTTGGTAACTTTTAACATCTACTTGGAAAACAACTTAATACAGTTTCTACTCTTTTGTTTAGACAATGAATCAATTGCATTAAAACACAATGTTGCATCTCGTGGATAACTTACGGGATGTGATGAAACAGGTATATATTGTTCGATTTGCCAAGTGTCTTTCAGGGATGAAAAGTCATCCTCGAATATAATCTGACCACTGCAAGCATTGCCTCCCCGTATAGTTGTCACTGTGGGTAAACATCCGACCGGTTTTGGACTACTCCCAGTGCGGTCTTCAACTGCTGAAAAATCAAAGCGGTAACATTAATATCACAATGTTTAACCAAGGATTGGAATTCCTCCTTAACAATTGCTTAACAATTAATTTTTAGTCATTCTAATAGTTCCAAATCTCATTTGGGAGCAATATAAAGCTATGCTTGTTCTCTTAAATCTATAAAGATTATTTTGGACATTAATGTTGTACAACAATTAAATTTACTAATTCTATTTCTACGATGTCATTATTTGGCATATACATGTAATAATTTTATTGGTAACAAAAATCTCTGAAGTGATTGAAGCGGGATCGTGCATGTAGTGGTGTCTCACTTTAACTACGGAATTTGCAGAACTGGTCGCTGTTTTATAACTTTATAACTAATACTAGTTTTTCTATGGTCAGCAGTGGGCGTAGTACGGTTGATGATTATGAAGATGATGACTAGCTTTCCACTAGTAGCTTTGCTAATGGTTTACACGATTAGTGAGCCAAAGTAGAAAAATAGGATTCAGACTTAAAATTATCCGTATACGAAAAAAATACATCAAAATTCGTTCAGAAGTTTTCCATGAAGGAGTAACAATTATACACCCATACTTAGAAACTATCGTATTTCTAATCTGAAAGTAAAAACTTCAAAAGTTACATTGTCGTAATTTACCTTGTACAGTGTAACTCAAGTTGTCCTTCAAGTAGCCCTTTCTGTTCACTGAGACAAATACGTAGTAGTTGATGACGTCACCGACACGAAGCTGGGTATTTGCGTCTTCGTACACCCAACGACCATTGGTTGGCCGGAGGACCTCCCCTTTTAGGCTACCAACCGCGTCTCTGTCGATCTTCCGGTTTAAATTCCCTTGGAATACGAAGAGAGCCAGCCCTGGACCATCTGAAACATTCAGAGAGAAAAATGTATTATGATTTTTAGATGGCGAAAGAGGAGGGAATATAATCGTTTATACAATCCCACGAAATATTTGGGTATTCGTATAGTTTGACTTCTGTTTTAAATACACTTTTAAATAGTTGAAGAAGTTGAAGTCACGGCTTTGGGTTCATGTTTATTCAAAACTTGTTTATTCTTTTAATTTTCGAACTTGTTCACATACGCGCTCAGTTTGTGATGCAAATCTTTCGTAAGGGCTGATCATAACATGGATGACCAAAATTTTATTATCACGAACTCCGTGCTTTGGAAGGCATTTTAAGTCCTTGGTCCCGACTGCATCTGTAGTCGTTTACAAAATACTCACGAATCTTTAGGCTTGATTACGAAAGGCCTATGTGCCAGCATTACGGACACTAAAAGGCTGATGTTGATATTTTAAAATTATTATCATTAGTTTTACATAAATATACCTATCTGTTTTTTTAAGTGCCGGCCGATGACCATTCGCTCGCGCATCAGTATAACAATTATCATGTAAAGTCCCCGAAAAGCGGTTTTTACTTATTTTTTATCATGTACAGAAATTTTGACTAGCTTTAAAGGTTGATAATTTAAATTGAAAACTATTTTATTAATAGCCTGAAATATACCATAAATGAGTATTATATATAGAAATATAAAAAAAAAATATTCATTTCCTGCTACTATTCATGGAAGTTCTAAAACATGGTGAGTTTACAAAGACCATTTCAAAGAATGTTTAGATAGTTCAGATTACCGCGACAGTTAAAGTTTTACACCTGAATATATACAACATACGTTGAAAAATCAATTTTGATAGTTTTGTAAGCTAAAACTCTGGTCTTATCATCAACACTGCTCTGCATTGCACCTAGTCAGATTAATGACCTTTCATATACAACTTGTTTATTATTAACTAGTTATTTTCTTGCAACTTCGCCCGTAAGTTATAGTCTATGTAACCCGCCTATGGTGGAGCTACCGTAGGTAAAATAATTTAGTGGTTTGGAGCCTATTTAATACAAACAAATAATCAAATCTTTACTCTCTATAATATAAGCATAGGTTAAAATTTTTCATACCTACTATAAACTTTGATTAATTTATATCTCTCAAATTATTACCTAGGTACATATTACTTTTTTTTATATATCTCAAACTATTACCTAGGTACATATTACTTTTTTTAGAATATAAATTAACACAAACAACATTGATTACATTGACATTGTCAACTGTTGAATGTATTAACTTTTTATTGGTATTGTTTTTTTATTTAGTTTTTATTATAGGTGTAAAAACTTAAATAAACCTAACTTACCAGGTATTGAAACTCTAAAACCTTTAGGTTGAAGAACCTCTATTCTCACATCGGGAATAGTGTAGCTATTTTGAGCACTGACCAATCCGAGAGCCACTGATAACACATAACAGCACACACGCACATCCATACCGGTTATCAATTCGGTACTGACTAAGTAGATGTGCAAACAAAGACGTACAGAGTTTAAGGCTTTATTCACACGAATCAGTTCCGGCACAGTCACTAGTCTGTCTTAATGCTTCAGAGATACCTCAGATTTATCGCTTATAACGAATAAGAAAATCAGTTTAAAGAAAAAAAAAAGAAAGTAGATACATGTAGCATGGAAATTGAAGATGGAAGAGAAACAGGAGAAGAATTCTTAACGTTATATAAATAATAATTAAATACAAAGAATATATTTTTTAAATTATTGACATTTCATTCCGTCTTTAAGATAGCGCCAGTGATTGCCTGTGTTGACACCAAAAAGTAAAGTATATTAGGGAGGCCGGCAAACTTATCAGCTTATTTAGAACAGCAATATGCTTAACAGGCTTGTTAGAGCCCAAAAGGTTTATGCTTCACTATTTGACGTACCAAAAGGATTTAAGCTTCGGCAAATTTTTCTTTGCCGAAGCTCGGTGGCGTAGTGGATAAGCGCCGCAGCCCGTGATCGTTGTCGTTAAGCAACTTTCGTAAATGTCGGTCACGGGATGGGTGACCAAAAAATTATTATCTCGAGCTACTCCGTGCTTCAGAAGGCACGTTAAGCCGTTGGTCCTGACTGCATTTGCAGTCGTTAATACCCTCCAACCCGCATTGGGCCAGCGTGGAGGGTCATGGCCCATCCTCCTTAACAAGCCATAAGGAAGGCCTGAGCCCCTGCAGTGGGGACATAAAAGGGCTGATGTTGATGATGATGATGATGAAATTTTTCTTGACCTGAATTTGGGTCTGGCCTGTAAAATATGCATGTAAAATAAATGTACTTGAAATCGAAAAGATCCGGTCCTTAAATGCAAAATTTACGGAGTAATGATTGCAGACTGTATCAAATGACGAAATTAATTAGATTTTTTTTATTGGCATTTAACTAATGCATCTAGGGTTATTTAGTGCTATTATTTTGATCATACAGCCATTATCTTCAAGGAGTTGGTGACAATGAGCTCGTCTAGATGTGTTCATAGATAATGTATTAAAAAATAATTATATACCGTTTGACACCAATAAAATCGTCAATGATAAGTATGAATGAAGCTTAAGGCTGGTGATAAACAATCAATCATTACTCTTAATTTATTTATTCATAAGAATACAGAATTCCAAATAACTAGGGCCAAAAAATATGAATTAATAGTTTAATATAAAGTTTATGTTCCTTTAGGTACTTACATGGGGCCATATTTATTTACAAATTTTATTCTGTTTGCATTACTCCTATACTGTGAACGACCTTCGTGTCCAAGAGACTAGTACGCCGGTCCTTGAAGTCTCAGTTTCGATTCCCGAATGAGTCATATCTGAGCAATGTATGTGATGTTGTAATATTTATTTTATTACAGTGATTTAGAGGATATAGGCTTGGTTAACTAAGCCCATATCATAAAGAAAATCAAAAAACTGTTATTTAGAATATGGAGATACTTTTGATAAGATATTAATATAAATGAATATTTTGAAATTCTACACGTTTAAGATTCATTGTATAATGTTAAATGTCAGAGGTTTGGAGGAGATAAGAAAACACATGATAAGACAACACTAGATCACTTCGCATAATTATTATGAGAGAAAAGCGTATTTTGTTTTGTTCTAAAAGGAAAGCTATTGATTCGATTTCGATAAAATTAACATGGGACCTTTACCAACGGTCCATTAAGCAGTCGAATAAAAAAGTATTTTGAAAATCGGTTAACAATTAGGTAAATATCATACATAAAAAGAACATACATCGGTTAAAAATAAAATATACTTACTTACAAATTATTTTAAATAAAAATAAAAAATACTACATAGATATTAGTTTACATATAAGTAAACTTATTGGTTAAATTTTTTGGTCATCATAACTGTGAAGTAGCGAATTAAATAAAAATCAGATATTTATTCTATCGTCATGATAAACTCAGGGATTCCCCTGGCAATACGTCACTTATTTCTTGATAGGTTATAATAATACCTATATCCTTGAATTTAATTGCGCAAAGTGAATAACCTCGAACCTACGAGGAACAGGTTCGTCTGTGGTAGTGTCTTAATCGATAATATTGGAGAAGAATTGCTGGTCATTTTCCGCCTTTGTGAATTATTAAGACTTTGAACATTTTTAAAATTAGAATTTAGTCACAATGACAATTGCTTAAAAAATCCCATCTCAGAGTACCTGGGATAAGGGGATTTTTAAAAAATTTTTTAGTAAGTGTTTTTCAGTATAGCATTGTGAATGCAAAATTGATCAAATATAATAATTAGAATTAAGTTTTTAAACCATATATATTAATATTTTTAGTCATTAACAAGGTGCGAATCTTAATAATTATTCAAGCTTAATCAGAGAAATTACTAAGCTTATCCACGTGAATTGTTAATGGAATCACATCGGAAAAGGGACTTCCGACTATGACGAAGATATCGTAGAACAATCGTACAAAGATAAATAATAATAATAATAATGATTTATTTGCTTTCAAATGAGGTACATTGTAGATTGAATTAAAATTTGAGTTCAGCCCATTTAGCCATCAACTATAGCATGCAAATATTGATAAAATTACATTGGATATATGTATGTCAAAATTATTAAATTAGAAATATCATTGTTACATAAAACTATTAAAGAGTACAATAATTATTCCCACTTGAAGAATGTCAAAAAAATTAAATTATAAAATCAGTGTCAAAATAAAAGTAGATAATGCCTTTTTAAAGCTATTAAATGGAAGATTCTTAATGCTAAGGGGGATATTATTAAAAAGCACAATACACATCCAATAACAGTTATTCTGGAATCTCGCGCTTCTTGGAGTGATATCAGTAACCAATCTATCACAATTTCTGGTATTGCGTATATATACATTTTTTGCCTGTTTAAAGTGACACATATTTTGTTTTACGAATTTAGCGACTTCAAAAATGTACGATATAAACAAGGTAAGGTTAAAACATTTAAAGATTTAAAGAGAGGTTTGCACGATTCATCAGGTACAGCACCACAAATCGCCCTAATACATTTTTTTTGAGCAACAAAGGCTTTTTTAATATCTGTACTGTTACCCCATATGATAAGCCCGTATCTAAGAACGGATTCTACATAAGCGAAGTACGCAGTAAGAGCTGTACCCCTAGTAGCTATCTTAGATAATTTATGAAGAGCAAATGAAAATCGGTTAATTTTACTGCAAACTTTTTTCTACCTGATTTTTCCAATCCAGTCTTTGATCAATTACTATACCTAAGAATTTTGTGGAAACGACATTTGTAATTATTTGCTGTTCATAATTTATATTAATTATTGGATGAATGTTATTAAAATTTATTAAATATGTTTTTTCTAAGTTAATAACTAAATTTTTATTTCTGAGCCAATCAATTATAGATACCATTGTTGTTTTAATATCATTTTTGTGATCATCAAACGTTAACGTGCCATCCGTTATAACAATTACTGATATATCATCAGCAAATAGAACATTAAGTTAATTTCATAACATTTTTGAAGTTGGTTTAAAATATTATTATAACGATTATATTAAAGTTTCATTCATTTAAGCAAATAATATCTAGCTCTGGCTTAGAAAAAAAATTGTGTTGACAATAACCAAACTACAGTTCCCTCAGAATCTGTGCTCTGTAGCAATCATGAATCACCGATCCTTAAGATAATTTAGGAAAAAGGAGTGTCTTTTTTTAAGACGAAATAAAAACAAACTATATTTACATACAAAATTTATTATCTTTATTTAATATAAAATCACATAAACAACGCCACCGTCTGAAACAAAACATTGAAGTAAATCAAGACAAGGAAAATTAAATTATCTACTAATTGGTATCCAAAAACATTGACAAACCACAAATGTATGTTTACAAAGATTGTGGGTATAGATGTTATTTTAATTAGAATAAATGCACAATTGCACATGCCATATTTGTTTGATATTAGATACGGATGATTTATAAGACCAACAACATTAAAGATGTGTTGATATTTGAATTTTTTATCAATGAAAATTTTCATTCTCTTTTATTGTGTTTTGACCATAGAGTTTAGTATCGTTCCTTAAACTTATTACTTTTTAAGCATTTTTCAGTTAAATATTTTTCAATATAGCATTGTGATAATATAATAAGAACATATCCTTTTTACCGTTACTTTAATTGGCGGCAGAGATTTTTCTTGGAAAAAGTTAAGTCCAAAGTAATTTCTTATTCTTCATTTAATAATAATAATTACAATTTCGTTAAATTCACAATCCAATATCATTTATTAAGTCTGAGCTGTTACAAGCATTTATAAAATTAAGTAATTAAAAGTGCTATGTCAGAATATTATTAAAAGAATAACGTAAATGATTTAATAATTAGCATTATCGTAAGTAAATCTATATGTGTTATGTACATGGATATATTTATTCAGTACAGATTTACCTTTATTGTCTTATTAAGACACATGATTGGTTATATAGGTATAAAAAGTAGTTACTTAAGTTTTGTTGTTTAAGGTTTACTATTATTTTTATTATGAGCATTTTAGCCGGATTTGTTGTAAATGCAATATTTGATTTTTTTTTTGCAATAGAAGTTGTTATCACAAACGCCGTTGCATGAACGTAAAATAAGATTGAGTGATTTGAAGCTGTCAATTTGATAAAAAATAAATTAAATGAAAAAATATTATTGTCAAAATTTTATACGACATCAGAAAGAAAATTGAAATGAATTTTAAAATATCTTTATTTAACTCTAAGTTTAGCATAATATTAGTTACTATTTATTTCTAATAAATTATTCCTACCTTTGTATTATCATAACGCGTAGACCTTCACGTAGTCGACCTGCATTTGCGACGTGTCTTCATACCAAGTCGGCAGCCACTGTTCCTTCGCCCTCCAGAAGTCAAGCATGGCCTTATTGGATCGATCGTTCCAAGGCTTCGTTGGACTGTCAGGAAATTCATGAAGACCTCCCACGTTTAAACCGAGAGAGATATAGAACTGTTAAAAGAATGCCGTAAAATTCTATTGGAACCTTTAAAAAATATTATTAATATGTTATCTAAATAATGAATAGCTTTTCCAGATTATTATAATAACTTGTAAGCGTGGATTGACTGATTGAAAGAAACAAAAACCTTTCCCACGTTAAAATAAAAAAAATCTCACCATCTGATCAAGAGGCGCCATCGTTGTGCCCCTCAGCCACAGTGGCGCGGCCGTTACGTTTTTCGTTTTAGCGTCTTCGTAAAAACCTGAGCCGGGATTTACTTCGCCGTATTTCTCACCGTCCACGAACAAAGATATACCATCTATAAATATATGTTTATTATTCACTACCATCATCATCAAATGCTTCACAATAATTTCCTTTATGTAGGTATGATCTATTCACATTTGCTAGGATGGAGGAGGCAAGTTTTTTTAATTTAATTCTAAACATTTCTAATAACTTTACTAAAAATACTGAAAATGATCTTGACAAAAGAGGCTATCGATAAAAAAAAAAAACTTTTAACAAATATCCTCATTCGCTTACTAGTCACAATGGTGTAATTACATATAATTAATAATAGCTTTGTCGCCTTGGCAAAGTGATTGTAGCTCTTAAGCTTTAAAAAAACATGATTACCACCGCTATCAACAGGGTTTTCGATTAAAAAATTGCACTAAAATATGTTGGTTTATGCAATCAAGAGCTACGGCGCCGCAGACAACATAAACTGATAGACGGGTCAAACTTATATTACCCCTCTTTTCGCGAAGGGGGTTAATAAACAGTTAAACTGAACGTTCAGTGCATTTAAAATACAAGTATTTCGTGAAGAAAATAAATAATACTCGTAGTAAGTTCATATTTTGAACATAGATTTGAAAATGAATTGTGTACATTTTTTTTTCACTATTATTAAGGGGTAATTAATATATATTACCTGGTCTCCATTCAAGACTGTAGTTATGGAAATCATTTGCCCAATGGTCGTGTCCTATTTTCTCTTTCAAATGCGCACTCCTGGAAATAATAGTATGAATAACCTCCCTTTAACAAGATTTGGTTTAATTTAGTTACCAAGGGGTCATTCAAGTAAGTACTAGCTAAGCAGACTTTCAAGTTATATATTATTCATTTCCATTACATCAAACAAATTCATAACATATACGACAGAAAAGGTTACTGTATGTATCTGTGTATGAGGCATCCAGTTACTACTTATGACGATTTTGACCCTTAGAAATTTACCGTTGTTTTCTTATTTTTAATTACAGCTATTAAACTTATTGAAAGATAGTCATTTTTGATGTACGCAAACTCTTGAACTATGTAGTGATTAAATCAGCAAATAAACTTTATGGAATAATATTAGTATAACTTCTATCATTATCCTATCAACATCATTGTAAGCTATTGGCTGTCTATACTAATAATAAGTTACCTGCAAGTATAACACGATACACGTGGTTATAAGGCCTTCTTTAAACCTTTGAAATTTCGTGCTGACACACTTCTATGGGCGAATACAAGTATTTTGACTCGAAATATATATATTTTTTTCTATTGATCAAAGTAATCACCCATGCAATCAATGCATCTTTGAAAACGCATTAGTAGTTTATTGATACCCTTCTTGAGATATCAGCTGGACGGGTGGCAAAAATTTTTCAAAGGCATTTTGTACTGCTTTTCGGGTATTAATTATTTTCCCGCAAAAAAATTTAAAATCCAAATTCTGGAAAAAGCTATCAAAATTCTGGAAAAAGTAAAAGTCTGCAGGCACAAGGTCTGGTGAGTACGGTGGATGACGAAGAACTTTCAACCCCAGCTCTTGTAGCTTGGAGACCGTCTGCTGTGCAGAATGAGGTCGTGCAGGAGTAGTGAAGCCGAACGATTGACCAAAGCTGGTTGGAGACGTGCGAGCTTCTCCATCGTTGTATTCAATTCTTCAAAGTACAAATTTGCAGTAATGCTCGTCCCAATTGGTAAGAAGCTGTGATGAATTACACCTGCGTTAGGCCACCAAACAGTGGCCATCACTTTTCTAGGGGTAAGTTTTCGTTTAGGGCATTGTTTAGGTGCTGAGCCAGGGTCCAACCAATTTGCTGAGCATTTACGATTATCGAACAGAATCATTTCTCGTCACAAGTAACAATGCGGTTCAGAATTCCTTCATTTGTATGCCTATTGAGCAGTGCAAGGCACGTCTCGACGCGTACTTTACCCAAAATTTTTTTTATTTGAAATGGCCAGTACGGCAGAACGGCAATTTCATAGGAAAATAAAGACCTATTAGATCGATAAACAAAAACAAACAACAAAATTTCATACTTTAAGTTATCTAGTACCTTTTATTAGAAGAACGTGTCCCCTGTAGAAGTGCCTAAGTAAAAAGTATTTCTCTATAAGATAAATCACCATTATATTAAAATATACTTTATGGTATATACCTGTAAGGTTCAGTATCGCACATAATAGAGCCTCCTAACAATTTCTTGTAGTATTCAGCGTTACCCTTCGCGTACGCAACACGCATAATACCGGACGCATAATTCTTTGAGCCGTATGCGTAGTCACGAGGTTCCAATTGAATTACTGAGGAAAATAGAAATGTTTCAATTAGTATATTAAAAATAATAAAGATTAAATAATCATCTCAACATTGTTGGAGTATCTCTATTGTCGTTGATTTATTAAAAAATGTGTTTAATTCATCGACATCGATGAAATATATGATGTTTTTCAATATTTAATTTACTTTATAAACTTACTTGGAATCAACCAGTCTCCTACTGGCATTTTGGCCCTAACTTCGACGCGGCCATATTTGAAATTGAAACGGTTCTTGGTGTTGATTTTCGCGGTGATGATGGGTGGCAGAATATGGGCTCCTGATGATTCTCGGGTGCATTGGTTTGTGCCCAAGTCACCGGTGCATCTGATTAAGAAATAAATACAAAATTGTAGAAATCAATAAACAGTTGATTTCTACTATTCCTACTATAATAAGAAGTTAGGTATTTCAGTACCTGAAATAGACATTAGTTTCATACCTAGCAGTAAGGTCCAATGATTGAGTAACGTAGTCTTCTCCATATTTGGATTCCAATGTGACGGGGCGTATTTTTAAGACGCCGCCTCTCACCCTCAAATTGCGATCATTTAAATAAACGTTGAACGGATAGTCCTGAAAATTAAAACCATCAATAATTTGAAAAAGAAGCTGCATCTTATTTTGAAATTGAAATAAAATATAATTTTCGTCGGTGGACGATGGTACGAAAAGTATTTGTAATTGAATGTATGTTTATCTAAATTAGGTATAGGCCTCTAATTTTCCGCAATCAGACGCTTTTTTGGCTTTATTACTCCAGTCAACCCAACTTCGCCCAGAAACTTTTAGGATCTTCATAGAGTTCGCGGAGTGTTGATATGTTTATTATTTTTATTGTTTTATTTATAATTTTTAATCAATTTCGCATTCACAATGCTATACTGAAAAATGCTTAAAAAATCCACTTGTTCCCTGGCACCCAGTACCTAACAGGACTGACGGATCTTTCAAGCACTTGTTTTATATCTATCTATATTTCTTTTTTTTTTTGTATAAATATAGAGGTAAACCTGGCTAACTTATATCATATAAAATGCAAATCCACAGCGTTAATACTCAAAGTAGCTATGCAAAAGTAATTTCTGTATCTGAGATTTTATTTTATTTTGAATATACTGTCTGAAATCTCTGAAAAAAGATTTAATGTTCAACTTTTTAATGTTATAGTATATTAATATGGTTTCTTATGTTTTAAGCTTATCAATAATACGAGTATTTCATTGTTTCACTTAGCATGTCTCCATAGCATCTCAGTAGGATAAAGTAAAAAATTATCAAGTTTAGTATTATTTGCTATATCATTAGTAACACTACGTACATTATTATTCTATCTATTATCATATGGTAAATCAAACGTTTGTATTGTGAGTGGCTCCACGTCCATGTTAATGATACAGAAGAATATATCAGTTTTATCTTTATTCTTATGGGGTACTTATATCATAATAAAAACTATTTAATAAAAAAGTGATGCCAAACTAACCAGCAAAAAGCGGTATTTAAACTATCCTAGAACCATGATTTTTTGAGGACTCATATAAATGAGTCTTATATCTGCGTATAACCCCACAAAATGGCCCACTTTATAAGTCTACCCTTGCTTACAGCGCGACTATATCAGGCCGCAGCCATCCCACTTTTGATTAAATGGCTCCTATATAGGGATTGCACAAGTGTACTTTTACCTGAAAATGTTAATATAAATCCACTATGGTAAAAAGTGAGACTAACTCGGGCCTAGCTATTCCACTACTAAGTATGCACCTAGTGTTTACTGAAACATTATAATTCACTGGAATTATCAAATTGTGATGTGCCACATACCTTTGCTCAAACTTTTTAATTTTTTCTAGTGTAGAAAAAATTAAAAAGTTTGAGCAAAGGTATGTGGTATTTATTAATATGATAACTAGAAATATTGACAAAGATAGTAGAAAACATATCCTATTGTTCTTAGTATTTGTGTTGTCTGTTTGCTGGGGAATGTGAATTTTCTGTGAACCCTATCTTGGTTTCGATTAAAATTTTAAAGCATCTCTTAAAAATGGCTTATTAACACTTTTTGTATTCATTTATTTATAAACAAATGATAGGAAAAGTCGCCATTTTTTGGGTGATCTTTTCCAAGTATGCTATAGCATTTATAAAAGTTAATTTACTTCTACAATGGTAAGAGCCAACACCAAAGCAAATTCGCCATGTTGTTACCAATTAGGGTTCCACAATTATTACTGTCTCATCAGGGGGCTCACACTGGAAATCGTAGATTCTGTTATGACAAATATTTAGTAACAAATGTGTAGTGAGGATATATTTATATGTTATATACTCTTTCGCTCCTTTTTATATATACAACAAACGATGCCAAATGGTGCCAACGGTGGTATCTCGCAGACGGTACACAATATGGGCCCAAACTGGTATCGTGAACTATTGATAACTGGCAGTCCATCAATATTTATGTTCAGAGAAATTTTATTTGGTAGACACGAAACATTTTCAAAAATTCTTTTCAAACATTTGATCAGACCATTGTGCCAGTAGTGCCCTGGGGCTGAAATGGTAATTTGTAGGTTTTCTCTATTTGTGCCTAGAAGTGTTCGCACATCTTGAGGTAAAACGTCGTTTAATCTGATATTTACAATATGAAGTAAAGAGTTCAAAGCAGAATGAGAAATATTGTAATTCAAAGCCTAGTTTTTAATAGAATAACGCAATTAAATTTTTTTGTTGTAATCAGTAAGTTCCTTTCATAATCGCTAAATGATTTTTCATTATTGCTTTCATAGTCCGAACCCCTTCCATCCGAAGTACTACTAAAGTTATTTTGTCCGGAACCCTCACCCGAATTTGCTATGCAGTCTTTACCCGATAAATTTAAAAAGTCAGTGCTCACTCTGGTTAACATTTCCTGATAGGTTTTCTTAACCTTTCTTTTATAAGAACCATTCTTTTTAAAGCGCTTCCACTGATCTAAGTCCATTTTTATTCCATTCAGGATAACAATCGTGTTTTTAAAGGCTGATCACAAAACCTATTGTAAAATTTGGGAAACCATTCAAATCGTGTTTTCGACTTTATCGGTTGTTTCCAGAAAAAGGACTTTAGAGAGTTCTAACCAGGATTGTTTGAAGATTTCTTAGACAATAGCACTACTATGAAATACCCATATATAAATCTACCTAGGCTTATATCGGCATATGACAAACCCCTATAAAGTGCAGTTTTGCCTAGCGAGTCCTAATATAAGCTTTTCTGGATTCGTGAGACCGTATTAAGCTCGTTTTTCTTATATTGGTGATTCAGAGCAAAAGTGGCCATATAAGGGTTCTAACCAAGATTATTCGAGATTTCTTCGATTATAGCATTACTATGGAATAAAATTCCATTGGATGTTAATATGTATTTACAGACTTTGCTTATATGAGGCTATAAGTAAAACTAATAAAAATAGTGATTGTTCCTCTGTGAACATTTTCCTTGAATATGCTCATATAGGAGCCTGAAGATTAGAATGCGCTTAAAGCGTTGTCTTATATGCGCATACAAGTCTGAGTTATTGGAGTAGTTCCTCTTGAGAGTAATTACTCTTAATACTTGGTTTAGTCCAGTAGTAGCCATGAATTTTGATCTTGATATATACCGATATAAGTCCATATTGTGTCCATATTCACGTATGCTGATATAAGTGCAGTGGCATATTTTGAAACCATTATAGTAGGTAGCTCGGTGGCGTAGTGGATAAGCGCCACGGCCCGCGATCGTAGTCGTTAAGCAACTTTCGCAAGGGTCGGTCACGGGATGGGTGACCAAAAAAATAAAAAAAAATTATTATCTCGAGCTACTCCGTGCTTCGGAAGGCACGTTAAGCCGTTGGTCCCGGCTGCATTTGCAATCGTCAATACCCTCCAATCCGCATTGGGCCAGCGTGGAGGGTCATGGCCCATCCTCCTTAACCATCCATAAGGAAGGCCTGAGCCCTTGCAGTGGGGACGTAAAAGAGCTGGTGGTGGTGGTGATAGTAGCTATATAAGTCCAAATAGGATTTTTAAATCGCATGCCATGATTATTTTGTTTGTTGTGTAAGAAGTTATAGAAAGCTAGAATCTTAAAAACAATTAAAATAAATTTGCTCAACGGCTAAAGGCACTCCTTGGCTGACGTTCCAAATGTGAAAGACATATAAAATGAAATTGTAGAATGAATTTCTTCTAGTTACATTGCAGAATTGCAACTGGAACGTTATCTAGTTACTTTTTAGAAACCGGGACAACTAGCAACTTAGGTTGAGCTCAACCCACTCCCTATGTGGTTTTTCTTAAGCAGAATCAGTTTATTTGGATTTAGGAAACTATTTCTTATCTAAATTATTACCGGTGCTTCCGGAAACATTATTTCGGTACTCCAAACTTTCCCCTTCTCCAGATTTGCATTAAAGTTATCTTCAAACAACAGTTGTCCCTTGCACACAAACCCAGGCATCGATACTTTCGAATCTGATATTTCACATGGGTACTTGAGAACTTCGGTGGGTTCGACTACTGCACTAGGCTTGGGAATTGTAACAGCTTCGGAAGAATCGGAAATAGGAGACCCAGTATTTGGGTCCACAGTTATGCCATCTTCATTCACGTATTCTGAAAATGTTAATAACTCTAATAAATTTATATTCTCATCTCATGGTTGCATGGAATGGAGTTTATTTTTATTTATGCATATTATTTAAAAAAAAAAGAAATAATAAAATACTCTTGAAATATATTTTTGAATATGACGAATTTGTATGAAATAATTCAGGGATTAATCAACTCTTGCCGAGTTCGTTGCTATTTCTTAATACAAGATCCTCCGCCGTAGATTTAGGTACTGATGCCGTTATCATTTTTTTATGTAGGTATTCAAAAAAATCATGCGTTTCTCTGCTTATTCCATTGCTATAATTGTGATTCTATGATATCTAGCAACTTCTACACCCACTAATTTATTATCATTTGACTTTCTCTAGTGATTGTTAACAGCCTTGACTGAAAGTCAATAAATATTGACTTTTATTTAAAAACTCAATAGAGGTCTTTTAACTGGTAATAATACGAAAGGAACATATTGGCGACGACCACATACGTCTTCAAATAGCTTTAAAAATACGTTTGTTTATTGATTATTAGTTAAGAATAGCCGCAAATGTCACAGAAACAGCAATACAAAATGATATCCCAAATTTTGAATGTAAGTCGAGATCAAATAGAATTAAACTCTATTATTCACTACTGCAGAAAAAAACACTATACATGAAGAGGTAATTGTACTATTGACTCACAATGAGGAAGGTAGAACCTATCATAATAGAAGTTGCGTTCAATAACTTAGTAATGATATCTCAGATAAATTTGCCAGAATATTAATATAAACTAAGCATTTTCCTGTTTGTATTAATTTTGTGTTTAATAATACTACACTCACATAAGAGGGAGCGTAATAATATATTACAAAATAATTATTCGGCACTTGGTGTCTTCATATTATATTATTTGTTGCTTGATTTTTAAAATCTAACGTATTCTTTTACTAACAATATAAAAAAATATGCGGATTTACCAGAAAAAAAATATTGATGATGATATTATAAACGATGACCATTATTTTAACTAAATCTTTATTAATATTTTGTTGATTGTTTACTTGGTTAGGTTTTTAATAAAATCAAGCATCATCTAGTAGAAGTCCATTGTAATAATCGTGTAACAAATAAAGTATATGCACAAGCGGCAAATCCAGCAACCAGGAGTAGTAGTAGTGTGTAGTTGAGAGTGGTGTAGACATCCTCTATCCTTATCCATCTCATTGCTCATAATAAGATAGTCAGAGACAGTCTTATTAGTCTTAGTCGGTGATATTAATTAGCTGAATATCATAGTTTCAAGGATATTGAAAATCAAGAACGGCCCCCTGATTGTCTAATTTTAAATCTATTGCAATCGCTTTCAGTTTGAAAGGTGTTGCACAACCATTGCTGCATAATACAAATACTTTTTTTTTCAACTGTCCTCAGAAACAAGCAATGGTTATACAACATCTTTCAAACCAAAAGATTTTAAAGTTAGACAATTAGGCCCCAGCTTCTAAGGAGAAATATGATATTTTTTGTGATTTCGGATATTCGAACACAAGGGGGAATAATAAGGAAGAAAAAGCCTCATTACAGATGTAGTAAAAGTAAAATTCTAACCAGTAACAGTCCATTCTCCGTTATCATGTCTGTATCCCAGATTATCTTTGATGACATACGTCCAGTAGTAAATTTTATCGCCAATCTTCAACTGGGCGTCTCTGTCTCTGAAGGTCCAGCGGCCTTCCTTAGCCTTGGTGATATCTCGCGACCACTGACCTGCCTCCAAGCCATTCATTTCTTCATTGAGCTTGCCATGAAAAGCAAAGATTGAGAAGCCTTCATCTACGACAGAAAGTGATTGAATTTTAATTAAAAAATTAACTATTGTTTAAGTAAGTAAATGGCATTAAATTATAAATAGTTCTTAGAAATAATAGCATAATTGAATTTCTAATATTGCAGATTAATAAGAATATTTGTTTTTATTATATATCAAATTCATTAAAATGTGTTGTTCTCTCATTATTAATTAATCGTCAATGCCATCATCGAACCACAATATTAACCAAAGGCCATTATCAATCATTCTAAGTGGCAGTTATTAAAGACATTCATAAATAATTCGCCAAAAGTGGATACAAGTAATAGAATTTGGCTAGAAAATTCATAATTTTTCGATAGTACACGTTTTAGTATTGCAGACGTAATATTAATCTTTATTATAAAAATAAAAACAAGAAACCCAACTGCGTAAAAACGAATTTACCTTACGAATTAAAAATTAACCTAAATAAAAATTAAAAAGAAAGAAACAAGCCCAGTAGTTTAGAATTCTGTTAAGTAATACAGAACAGAACGACTCATAGTCAGGACCATGTATTTTTTAAAATTCGTTTTTACGCAGTCGGGTTTTTTGTTTTTCTTTAAATTATTTATTATTATTTTATACTTTTTAGTTACGATTGGTTGACTTCGTTATAAGATGGTAAATTTCGCAATTTAATTATTTCATTGAGGGAGTTAATATCGTGGGGATTATTAAGTAACTTGCGGTGGTCTAAACTACTGATGCTTAGTCCCTCTAGAGACCTAACTCGGCTCAAAGCTACATAAGCTTTATTTTTTTACCAAATATATTTGTATTTCATGCTTTTTCACTGTTTTTTTTTGTTGTAAATCGTATATACATTAAATAAAAACTT